GTCTTTTTAAAAAAAAGGTGTTGGGCTCTCCCTGATGGTGCAAGTTAAAGCACAGCACTATGAAGCTATCTGTCCACATGAGTTGGATCCCTCTGCCAAGGAGGTGACCCACAATGGCAAGGCAGATCTCTCCTCCCTTGACTGCCGCTCTCATGGGCAGTGTTCTTCAGTTAGTTCACCTGTTCTCACCACTCCGTCTCTGGTGAGTCCTCTCAATCCCCACACCTCTGCCTGCACCCCAGTTCTTGTATACATAAATAAATGTAAAAAAAAAAAGTGTTAATTAAAGACCATATCATACGATTTATTTAGTAATAAATAAATACCTTACCATGGTCAGGTATTTTAAAAAGATTTATTTATGCATACAAGAATTGGGGTACAGACCAGCAATTCAGGGGAGTGAAAGAATTCACCAGAGTGGGGAATAGAACAGGCTCATCTGGCCCTCCCTGGTGGTGCAGAGGGTTGAAGCGCTGCACTAAGAAACTTAAGCCACTTCCACATGGGTTCGATCCCAGCCTGCCCCAGAGGAGATCCATATGGCGTGGCAGACCTCTCCTGACCCGCCGCTGCTCCCCTCAGCAGTGTACTTCATCAATCTGCCTGTTCTGCTCCTCAGTCTGTCCCTGGTGAATTCTCTAACCCTCCGCATCTCTGGCCTGTACCCCAGTTCTTTATGAATAAATAAATAAATCTTAAAAAAAAAAAAAAAAAAGAACAGGCTCATCTACAGAAATACACTGCTTAGGGGAGCAGCAAGCTAGACAGGAGAGGTAAGACACACCATGTGGGTCACCTCCATGGCCAGGGATTGAACTGCTGCTGCGGTGGCTGCCTGTTATAGCTTCATAGTGCTGTGCACTTTAACTTGGTGTGCCATCAGGAAGGGCCCTATGGTCAGGTATTTTGTTCTTTTAAGAACTACATTTATTTACCATAATAGCCCTATGAGAAGGTACTATTTAACAGTGAAAGAAACAGGCAGAGAAATCTCATCTAAAACTCCTACAAAGTCACAGTAGTAGTAACACTGAGATTCAAACCAAGGCCACACAGTTGGTGCCCTCATTACCATACCATGCCACCTCTCTATCTGAAAGGGCAGAAAAAAATCTTGCTTTGGAATCCGAACGAGATGCCACCTGAAGGCCCTCTCATTGTTATGCAAATTACTTAACTTGTGGGAATTTCCTATACTACTTTAAACAAGTATTATAAGCAAAAATAAGATCACACACACTAGCTCATGAAACCCACACTAAATGCTTCCCATTTCCTTTCCCATCATACCTGGTAAGACTAATTAAAAAGCAGAAATAGGCCCTCCTGGTGGAGCAGTGGGTTAAAGCACTGCACTGAGAAACTAAAGCCACTTCCTCATGAGTTTGATCCCCGCCTGCCCTGGAGGTGACCACATGGCGTGGCAGACCTCTCCTGACCCGCCCGCTGCTCCCCTCAGCAGTGTACTTCGTTGATCTGCCTATTCTGCTCCCCACTCTGTCTCTGGTGAATCCTCTCACCCTCCGCATCTCTGGCCTGTACCCCAGTTCTGTATGAATAAATAAATAAATCTTTAAAAAAAAAAAAGCAGAAATAATAATTCATAAACACATATCAGGAACACTGGCATAGCACTGCCTTCTAATTAACCAAAGCCCCCAAAACAACTTTTCAATATATTTCAACTGCAAGGATAGCAATAATTCAGGGGGGAAAAAAAGTGTAACAAAATTTAAACTTACAAATCAAAGAAACAAGAGTTTGCAATGCAAGTGTGTAAGTCAAACTTAAGTGAATTCAATTTTTCTGGAAAAACAAAAAACCTCATCTACATAAATAGACCTACTGCTCAGAGAAATGTACTAAAATCTAAAATACTGGTGATTGTCTATCCTACTTCTGGTTAATTTAAGGCAAAGTCGTTTTATCATTAAAATGGATAAAGGTAATGAACATGTTAAAAATCAACTCCTATAAGAAAGACAGCTTTCAATGCCATTTCCTTGTGTATTCTGTGCTTATCTTGTTAAACTACTAAGTTCTTTAGTGGCAAGAATGTTTTATGGTCATCTAAGTATTCATAATCCTAGCATGCTCAAGCTTCACCCTAGTATAACCTCTAGCATTTCTTAAAAGAATGAGCTGTTTTGTCTAGAAAAACAAAAACAAACCCACAACTTGACTAACAGAACAACTAGAGTTTGACTTACTTGCTTTGAGAGGAAGCAACTATTTACTCCTTTAAATACTTGTCCAGTATATTTGAAATCATATATAAGAATTAATTTTATATAGTGTTAGGAACACTTTACCTCCTAATTAAGATATACTTATGGACAAAGATTCAGCTCCTCTTACTGAACCGAAAACTACTGTTCAAGTTTGACTATAAAGTTTTATTCTGAGCAGACTTCAGTGGGAAATAAAGATCAGAGTCTGATTTATTAGTGACATGGGCAGGTAGGTCGCAGTGCATTAAATTCCAATCAATGGCAACTATAATCAGTTATGAGTTAGCACATTATCTCTGTACCATAAAAACTGTCCAACTTTGGGGCTTTCCTGGTGGCGCAGAGGTTAAAGTCTCAGTGCTATCAAGCTATAGACAGCCACAGCAGCAGGAGTTCCATCCCCAGCCATGAAGCTAACCCCCAAGGCTCAGCAGACCTCTTGGGTCTGTCCGGTCAGCAACCTATTTCAGTAGCTCCACCTCTTCTGCTCCCCACAGTCTCTGGTGAATCCTCTTATCCCATTCACCCACACCTCTGGCCTAGACCCCAGTTCTTTACACATAAACAAATCTTTTTTAAAAAGGGAAATTATTCAACTATTTGAAAAACCATACACGCATACCAGCATTTATATTTTCTACTTTTTTAGTTGTGATCCTTTATGTTTTTATGCTCTCAGCAGTTTCTTTCATGGCGAAAGACAGTAATCACAAGAGTTAAAAGCATAATGAGAAAAAGATTGCTTATGTTGGAATACAGGATCGTCCTACTAGTTGAATGAGTCCTATCTTCCTCATCCATAAAATGGGAATAACACACTATCCACCTCATTGGAATAAATTAATATAAAGCACTTCCACAGTTCACCCCTGGCATGTTCATACAATTTAACCATAAAACAAAGATATTTTTCTTCTTTGAGTATTTAAATATGAATTATAAACAGAAATAAGAGCCAGATTTCTATCACCCCAAAACTATTAAAATGTGCTCTTCTCAGTCACTTTTAAATTACTGATTAAAAAAAATTAGTAAGTTGAATTCATTCAAGATAAAGATACCTAAGATTTCCCAAATTTCCAGGTCTGACCACCCAAGTATTCTAGACCAGGAGGCAATACTAAAAACAACTCTACTTATTTGTAACTCCTATAAAGCATTTTAAATGTTTTCCTGTAAAACCACCTAAGTAATTTAAGAACAAAAAAAAATCCGCTGGGAATTGACAAAACTTGTGCTGAAAAAGTTCAGGAAGGCAAATTAAAATTGATTTTGCCGGGAAGATGACAATTTACTATAAATTCAAAAATTCTCTTTCACAATGAGCATTTTTTTATTTTGTCTTTTAGACAGACTGTAACTTGAAAATCACCTTCCAAACACCGAAGTGAACTGTTCTTGGTTTCTATTCTGACCTTTTTCTTTACAATTAAACTCCTAGATATACTGGTTTAAAAAAAAAAAAAGGCAAACTGAAAGCCCTTTTGTTTGAATGGACACACCAATAATGCACTCCACAACTACCGTTTTTCATTTATCACTCGGATTTTTCTAATAAACAACAACACTAATTAACAACACTCCTGCTTGCTTTTCTTGTCTTAAGACGTAAAATAAAAGATCTTAGAAAGGTCAGCAACCCACCAAAGTACGAATCTAAGTCTATGGAGACTACCAACCACTTTTAGATGTAATTTAAACAGGAACTAGAATTCTAGCAGTAAATTAAAACATGAACCACCATTAACTTTTTTTCCTGGTCAGCAATAATTATCAAAGTTAAAAGCAAGTATCTCAACAAATAAGACAAACCAACCACAGAGCTGGTTGATAAAGCTAACCCAATAGCACAATTTCAAAAGTTATAAGCAACTAACAAAAAGAAAAACACACACACACAACCGCACCCATCCTTCAGTAAACTTTTGGAGTAAGCAAACTTCTTTAATCCACCTGTTTTCACCTAGCAAGGAGTCTTCAAGATAACACCGCAAATGCAAGAAAACCAAAACCTCAAAAGATTCAGTTTCAGGACAACAAAAATGTAAGATACGTTAACGTGTTTAAGTTACCGAAGCGCCGGGCACTTCCCCAAGTTACAGCCATTTTAGATGCAGTCTTTTAGAATTTCACAGGAGAAGTAGACTTAAAATAGAAAAAATATTCGTTAAAACACTTCCAAGATCGATCAGCTTTTTTCCGAGGGCAGGAGGAGTCGGTAGATGCTGGGAATACTTAACCTAAATAAATGAAAACACCTCGCAACCAAAGAGGACCTAAACGTTGGGAGTTAAAGCTCCTCTTTCCCCCAGATACCCCACATTTGACTTACACTACTTTTTCCTTTTTAGATTTTCCTTCACTGGAAAGCAAAAGACTTTCGCTCTGGTTTAAGAAAGAAAGAAAAAGCCCGTAAATCAGGCCTCTCGGCCACCAGCGAGCCGGAACTTCTGGAGAGGAGCCAGAAAGCCTCAGGTGAGCGTTCCGACCCGGAGACCAAAGTTGAAGTGGAAGCGCTCAGGAAGAGCCGCGGCGACCGCGACGCTCGTGTGCAAAGCTCTAGCGCGGGGGAGGTGCCGCGTCCGAGCCACTCGGCCCGTGGGCTCCACTCCCTCTCCCCCAGGAGACCGACACCCAACCACCTGTGCGAGAGCCTTCTTCAACTTGTTTCAACTGACGTGCGGTCAGGCACCGGGCGGAGCCCGGCCCCCGGACGACTTAAGAGCCTCTACTTCTCTACGTCCCAAAGTCCCACTCACCACTCACCGGGCAGCCGCGGGATTACAGCTACGGGCCAGACGCGGCGTCCGAGGGCGCTTCCCCAGCTTCCTGATCCCGCAGAGGTGGAGAGCCCACAACCATAACAAAGCTCTTCCCAAAATGGCTGCCCGTCCCACAAGGCCCACACCGCCCAGAAGCGGCAGAGCGGGCGAGGGGGAGGAGCGACACGCTCCCCCCACCCTCGTCCAACCCCGCCTCACACACGCCCACCCGCTCGCCCCGCCTAGAGGAGCGCACGCGCGCGCGCATAAGCTAGGTGTTGGGTGACCCTTCCGGAGACCCAAGCCGCCAACGTTCCGCGTGGTGAACAGCGGTTATTCCGTGCCCCGCCCCCAGCTCCCATCACCGCGGTACCAGGCGGCGCGCGGCCGCTCCCGCCCCTCAGTAGGCTTGAATGCTCTGCCCTCCAGGAGCCGCCTCAGAGTCGGAGGCCGGCCGTGTTTAGTGGTCCCCTTAGTATCTCCCAGCACAACACTAAGGCCTGGGCGCGTGTGAATGAGTGGGTGGTTGTGTTGTGTGTGTACCCATTTTTCCCCGCCCCTTCGTTCTTCTCCATCCCACATCTCACCTCTGCAGGCACGCGTCCCCAAACTAGCAAACCGGTTTCGTAAGACCTTGCGTCCCGACCCGTTCCCACCTTCCGCTCCTGCCTTCTTTCACGTGCGCGCGTCTACTCCAGCCCCAAGAGGGCCAGGTTCCCGAGGCCTGCGCGGCTGGGTCCGCACTACCCGCTGGGAACGGTAGTTCAGGCCCACAGCTGGCGTCACGCCCCCGGCCAAGGCGCCGGATTTCTGCCCTGAACCGGTTCCTATGCCTAACGAAGATGTTACTCCGACCCAAAGCCTCATTGGGTATCGCTGGACGGGAAGGGGCGGCGCCGCCAGGACAGAAAAGGAAATAAAAGTGAAAGCTAACGCGACAGGGCGCAGTTACTATTGCCAGAAATCCGCGGAGAGAGTAGTGTATGGAAAACTAAAACACAGGATGGCCGGCAACCAAAACGATGTAGAATCGGAGGAACAGAGAAACTGGCTGGCGCGGACTCCGTAAACTCTCATAGCGTGCCTTCAAAAGGACGCTCATATGCCTTGTGCTGTTTCCTTTGATAGGCCATTAATAGAAAGAAGCCTAGAGACGGGAAGGGACCTGCCCAAGGTCACATAACCGACAAATAAAATTCAAAGCTGACGGTCACCCCCACGTCCAAGATTGCTAGTAGCATACCTTTCAAGGAAGCGGAAATCCTACCCTTAGTGCTTTTTATTTCCAGGTGAAGTTCCCAGGTCCCAAGAAGGAATAAATACAAGTAGTTGGCTGTAAAATACTGGTAGTTTAGGTCCCTTAATGCGGAGTGAGATGAGCCCGGTCGGTTCAAGAAACCCTATTGTTTTGCGAGTTCTAAAGATGGCCAGCGATTGAATTTAGCCAATTCAACCTTGACCTGTATTTCAAATCTCTCCTACCTTTCCCTCTGAGGTTGTTCCAGTAGTTTTTGGCCCTTCACTTTCCCGAACTGTACAGGTTAGATTCTGCTGGCTAGGAAACCTAGGAAACCTAGGAAGGCACGGACCGTTCAGATACTCCACAGATTTCAACAAAAGCTTTCACTAGAATTAAGATATTAAAAGATTTGCCCGGTTGAAAGTCAGGTGTGGGAACCAGTTAACTCTGGTCAAGTCCCTACCCGGACTCATTTATTTTTGGTTCTCAGGAAGCCGGAGCTTCTAATCGCATGTGCCGGAAGTGCCTTTTCGTTAGTCCCTGGATGTTCTTGAAGTGCTGCTATATCTCCTGGCGTGACACTGGCAGGTAAGCGTTAGAATGGCAGCTACAGTAGAGGTTGGAAAAGGGGTCATCAAATGGTTGGGAGTAAATAGAAGCTGCAGGTACCGTTGGTCCGTTTTCCCGGGAATCTTTGTGTTCAAACTCTATACTTTATCTCAAATAACCGACCTGAGGGTTGCAGTTGTGTCTTATTTCCTTTGGGACTGTGGAACTATTGAGTTCACCTAAATCAAGCGGATTAACCAACCCTTAGGTCTTTCTTTTCCTTTAATTCTCTGTCTAGCTGCCGCTCCCAGACTAAGATTTATTTTTTGCGCATACAAAAGCTGGAGGGTGTTTGTGTGTGTGAAGAGTCACCAAATAGTGGGGAGCAGAACAAGGAGGCTTGATAGAAATACACTGCTGAGGGGAGCAGAGGGCGAGACAGGAGAGGTCTGCTGTGCCATGTGGATCACCTCCCTGGCCAGGGATCTAGGGAACTCTTGCTGCAGTGGCATAGTGCTGAGATTTAACCCCTTGCACCACCAGGGAGCTCCCGCGCTTTTTCGTCTTAATACAGTTGGAAAGCACGTCTCAGTGTGTAGAAATTTCGAAGGTGGAGGCACCGATATGATGTTTTAAATGGAGTGGTCAGGAATGCCTTTAATGCAGATGCTTTGATCAAAGGTGAGTGTGGGCCCTGCATATATGTGTATCTTAAAGTCACTAGGTGGATTTGGGTGTAATCTAAGTTCTACTCGAGAAACCCAGGATAACTTGTTTCTTTATATATGGAAATAAGACAGTGAAGGGGCCTTCCTGGTGGTGCAAGGGGTTAGTCTCAGCACTGTGAAACTATCAGCAGCCACTGCAGCACCAGTTAGATACCTAGCCAGGGAGCAGAACAGGCAGATCCACATGGCATAGCAGAACTCTCCTGTCTTGTCTGCTTCTCTCTTCTGTAGTGTATTTGAGTCAGTATGCCTGTTCTCCCCACTCTGTCTGGTGAATCCTTTCACCCACGGCCTACCAACCCCCAGCCTTGGCCTACACCCCAGCTCTTGTATGCATAAATAAATCTTTTTAAAAAATAAAGAATTAAGACAGTAAATGGTATATAGGATTTCTTGATCTGCAATCAAGATCAATTTTTTTTAATTAATCAGCAGTGTGGACTTCTAATTTTGTAGACACCAAATTTCCCTGGTTTGAAATGGGACTCATCTAAGACAAATCTAGATTAATAGTCTCACCCATCCACTTATTGGCAGCATCTATTAGACCAGGCTCTTAAACATTTCCTTTTGTGTAAGGTAGGAATACTATGTTAGTATTTTTAATGCTTTTTTTGGTGTTAAGGATAGTTACACAATTATATAAGGATATGTAATTGAGTTACATATATTAACTCAATTCTTACAATGGCCCCATGAAGAAATGGGGCAGCAGGCCTGCATGGTGGTGCAAGGGTTAAATCACAGCACTATGAAGCAATCTGCGGTCAATGCAGCACCAGTACAATCCCCAGTCAGGGAGGTGACCCACACATACAGCAGACCTCTTCTGTCTCCCTTCAGCAGTGTATTTTAGTAGATCTGCCTGTTCTGCTCCCCACTCTGTTTCTGGTGAATACTCAAGAAATAGGAAAGTAATTGGGCCTGAATTCCAGCCCAGATTCTTTGAACCGTATTACATTGAGTTAATCTGAAATATGGAGTTATCTTATGGTGCCTGATTCACAGCTAAGTTGTATTGATTGCTACTGTCATTATTTTGCTCAAAAAAAAAAAAAAAAAAGAGGGTCCTCTCTCTGGTGGTGCATGGGTTAAGTCACAGCACTATGAAACTGTCCACAACCACTGCAGAACAGAGTTCTATCCTCAGCCAGGGAGGTGACCCAATGGCACTGCAGACATTTCCTGTCTTAGTGCTGCTTTCCTCACTAGCCTTCTGTTCTCTGCTCTCCACTCTGTGTTGAGTGTATCCTCTGACCCGCCCTCAACTCTGGCCTGTACCCCAGTTCTTATATGCATAAATAAATCTTTAAAAAAATAGATAAAGGGGGTAAAATGAACAGAGAAGCTGTAACCTTCTGTTATAAATATAGAAAATAGGCACTAAAATATTTCTCAGGGTCACACAGCTGAAAATGGTAGGGATATTTGTAAAATACAATGTTCTGTCTCTGTACTATTTGTTAATCAAATAGCAAAAACTAGAAGAAATTTTCAAATAGCATCTACTTGTTTAACTATTAAGAAAACATTAACAGTTTTCAAAAACTTTACATAGAATAAATTTTTAGGAATTACTACTTTTGAAAATTATATACAAAGATGAAGAAAATTGATGACAGTTTTTTTCATACACAGGAACATGTCTCTGATTCAAATCCTCCACTTACCTGTAAAAATACATTAGAGACCTGCCTGGGATCTTCCTGAACAAGACTCTCAATAAGGCACGATATGTTTCACTTCTTCCAGAAGTTTTCTCAAGCATCTTCAAAGGTTGGTTTATTTCAGTAAATATTTAAATACTGTTTGCCAGGCACTGCTTGGCTGGGGCAGTATCAGTGAAAAAAGAAGACAAAAATCCTCATCTTCTGGTATTCAGGGTTGGAAGGGAAGGAGTGGTTGAAATACAAATATGTAAAATAATATGTCAAGACATAAGTGCAGTGAAGAAGGGATGTGAAATAGGGAATGTCAAAAATAGGATTGCCTTGTCCCCCAAGACAGAATCATTCTTAACATTCTGAGGACTCACAGTAGCAAACTTTTTTCTTTATTACATAAATATTTTTGGTTATTGGTATGTTTACTAGTTGAAGTCCGGCATCTGTTCACTAAAAAATCAGCAGGAAAGGTTATGAGTTTGGCTTTGTACCACAGAAGGCATTGGGGGAATTTTTTAAAGGCAAAAAAAAAAAAATTATGGTACTGGCTCTTAAGTCTATTTAGACAAGTAGACAATTTTAATTCACTATATGCAGAATTATTATGGAAGTGTATATAGCCTACTTAACTGTTAGAGCGTTAAATCAGATTACAGAGGTCAAGGAAAGCTTGAAGCCAATTTGAAATATGTGACAGAAGTTTTCTAGATAGAAAAGTAAAAAACTTCAGACAGAGACAAGTAGAAGGGCGTATAGTAAAGTATGCAGTTTTGTAAAGCTAATTTGAAAGGTAAATTGCTTTTCTACATAAATTAGCATGCCCACATTAATTAGTGCTACTGCTCTTGCAGTTTATAAATGGAAGAGACAGTGTGGAAAACCAAATACTCAACACCTAGTCTTTACCTGTTTCATTTCCAGATATTTCTCTCATGGGGTAAGATTAGTGGTATGT